ATCCGCTTGAACGCTTTTGCACGGAGTCATCAATGGCTTAATTGGACCTATTATAGCGGCTATATAGCTGCATCGCCTTGACCACTTCGCTGCACTGGCCGGTCAAAGCGGGCACTAAGAAGTCATTATGAAATTTCTCATCACACTTTCAACATGCGGCCAATGGCTGTTGCTATTGTTTTTCTTGTTGCTGTTGTATTTTATTATTGCTCTGCTTACTTCAGCCTCTAAAAGTTTAAACACTCATTCATGATCTTTGAAAGGCACAAAACGGAATTAGAAGTTAATTGAAAAGTTGATACTGAATAGATTGTTTAAAAAAGTTAAAGCCGACTTAAAGTCTTTTTGTTTGAGACTGAAAATATTTGCAAACGGAAAAAAAGACTTGCCACAATGCGCCGCCATTTTTAATGATACATCGCACAGTACTGCGTAGGCCTTTTTCCGCCTCTTGGCACGCTGAGCACAAGCGCACACTACAAGTACTATATATACATACATACATACGTCTTTTTGCATACCTTATATTACATACATATGTAGGCACACATACACACAAACACCCGCATGCCAAGTACCATCCATCCACAGTCCAGGGTACGCCACATAGTTTCTTATGCTCATGCCACAAAACCAAAAGACTTGCAGAGTTTTACTGTCGAGTGGTCTTCTTTTTTTTTTTGTTTTTTTTTTTTTGCCTTTTTCGCCAGTTTCTTAGCACTCGTTGGCTGCCAGCTCTCTGCCGCGTTTCAGCCCTGAAGTGCAATAAATATTTTTTCCTCTGTGCAGTTGCTTTTTTCCTTTTTTCTTCAACGCATTTGCTGCTGCACTTCAACCGCAAAAACGAGTGGTAAAATAAGTTGTATGCGGTTTTCTTTTTCTTTGCATTTCGTATTTTGGGCTTTTGGCTTGGACTTGGGATCGGGCTTGGGCTTCGACTTGGCTTTGGCTTGGGTGGTTGGCTAGCACGCAAAACAACGACAACAATACCTAAAAAAAAAAAAAAAAAAACAGCAGCACACACCAATGGGTAGACATGCCATATAAGCCACAAGCGGCCATAATGCGTTCCTCTTACGTGCTTACATGCGCGCCAGTAAGTTGGTCTGTATTTCTGTCTTTCCATCACTCCCCTGGTTTGTCTGCCCATCTGTCAATCTGTCAGTCAGTCCGTCAGTCACTCCATGTATAGCTTTATGCACGCGTAATATACGCAACACCAACATGGCGTCGCCATCACATACAAGCAAACATTTAAAATAAGCAAACAAACTATACGCGTGCATGCTATGAATGGAATAAATGACTCTTCGTTATTTCTGAGCCTATTTATTTCATGCATTATTGTTTTTATTTTTAAATACGCAGTCCACACATACGTTTGCGATAAGTTACGCATACGCAGCGTTAGGCATTAATCGATTTTCATTATGATGCTGCGTATAAGGTTTTTCAAAAATATTCAACTCCGTTTCAAATTCCTCCCCAGCCCATACTTCCCACATTTTCAAATTACAAAAAAAGCGGTGTACAAGAAACTTATTAGCCCGATCTATGAAAGAAAGTCTATATGCCACTGTCAGATCCTAACTTAAGCAACCTTCGATGTTTTGGATTTTATATTATACTTCTACATATGAGCTTACCAGCAATCCAACAAAAAAGCAAACCGAGAGCTTAATTTAATAGAATATTAATACGGCTATTTTATATTGACATTTGCTTAAGTCGATGTTTTTGATTTTACATTACACTCCTACATATGAGTTTACTTAATTAATGAATGCATTTAAGCGCTGGCATCTTGTCCTGAAACCAGATGAGGGTTCGTCCTACCAGCAAACCAACAGAAAAGCTGAAGCAAGGCTGATAGCTTAATTCCATGGAATATAAATAGGGCTATTTCATATTGACATTTGCATGAGTCGGCTAGTATAAAACATTTGCATGTATGCTACATGTATGTATGTATGTGTGCGTGACGGGGTATAGGAACTACAATTGCTCAAACTGTATCGACATAGCACTTAAATGAAAAGTCAAATGCGCAACTTTGTTGCATTGCGTTTAAATGCAAGGTTGCATCGCAAAATGTAGCGTATTGATGGCGACGGCTCTGCAACTGATGGAATGTCATGTTAGATGGCAACAAATACGCCGCTCCATGGCCTAGCTGGCAACTAATTGCATATTTGCATAGAACAGTCAGCCAGCCAGCCAGCCAGCCAACCAACCAACCAGCCAACCAACCAGTCATCCAGTTTAACCGACGAACCAACGGGCGAGCCAGCAAGCTCTCGCAGAAAAACACAGTGCACAAGTAAGTAGAACACGAATAATAAAAAAAAAAAATCGAAAACAAAAAACTAAGGTAAAACAACAAAAACTGCAACAACAAGAACAACAACTACACATATAGTAGAACAACTGTTACAACAAATGCTAAGAACCAGCGACGTGGAGGCGCCTGTTGGCGTTGCAGTTGCTGTTCTGGTTGCTTTTTCTCTGCTGCCTCTGTTGGGGTGTGGCCGACATGGGGCTCCATAGAATGTGTCGAAGCGGGCAGAGGCAAACAAATTTGCATGCGGTTGCAGCAGTAACAGCAGCAACAACAGCAACAACAGCAATAACAACAGCAAAAACAACAACAATCAGCAAGCATGTAACTACTACAGGGTGTTGCAGAAATTGCAATGCATGCTACTTTTTTATCAACGCGTTTTTCTAGCTCTTGCTGTCAATGCCATCTGAGCAAATCGACACAACCAAAACACCGAAACACACTAAAACCAATCCAATTTATCCAACAAGCCATATACCCATCAATCCAAGCTTGCAGCCATCTATCAATATATCCAGCAAGCTAGCTAGCTATCTAGGCAGCCGGCTTGCAAGCAATGCATTCACCAATCCATTCATTTCCATAGAAATGTGCGAAGATTATATGTTTCGTCAAACGCGAAATTGCTCACGAATATGCCCGGGCGTCTGCATTGGCCTCCCAGTAGTTCCGTTGCCCCTCCATGCCGCCCGTAGTCCCTCAATCGCCTGTCACAGTTGCCGGAGTTTGCGCTGTATTTGGCCTGGCAATGTAAAGCGGTTTTGCTGTGCAGGCTGTGGAAACGTTCTTCTAAACTCCATGCACCAACAACATACCCTCATTGTTAGATACACATACTCATACATACATATGTGTATGGCCAAGTGTGGCATTTTTGTTGTTGCCGCATAATGGGTTGGCAGGCAAAAACTGGAGGGGGCGTATGGGTGTTGCGCAGCTTCAAAGGGCCTAACAAATTCATTGTTAGAAGCTCCAATAGAACCTGAGGTTCAATATATACTTGTACATATAGTTCATATGTACAAGTATATACTTAGTAAGTATTTATATATTTCCATATTTACTTCATAAAATAGCTAATTAATTAATGATCGTGAGAGTACAAATCCGTGACTGATAACATTAAATGTGAAAAAAGAATATTATTGAATTCACCAAAAATTTTAAAACCTATAAAAACAAAAGAAACCACAAACTCTTTCGATAAAATTTAAATTCGAGCATTTTGCGATGCTTTTTAGAAAAAACATGATGAATAAATAACAATAACAAGTCTTGGTTACATCACTAGATATACACCTAATTCTGTTTTTACACGGTAGATTGGTTCCAGAAACAATCGTGTAAAGAAGACATAGATCATATTTCTAAAGAAATATATATTTAAATTTTAAATTTTCAAACCATGTTAAATCAAAAAAAATAGATAAATAGATCTTATATTCATAAACAATGCGTAATGCGTAAGAAAAGTGTAAAAGAAAAGTGTGTGACGTAGCTTTTTTTTATCTCATTCACAGCTCTACTGATTGTACACTCAGGAAGGCCCGTGTCACAAAATGATTCAATTTCTAAAAAAGTCATTTGCATTTTCTCATTAAGAACATAGCTAAAATACATTTTCACACCCGATCTATCTCACTCGACATTTTATTACCACATACATACTTTATTCGATCAAGATTCAAATTGAATTGTTGCGTCAAAACTTTTACGGTTTCACTCGTATAACGAATAAAATAATTTTTGGAAAACTTCAAAGACAAACTGCAAGTTCGGAAAACCCAATGAAAATTCACGAATTCATAAAGAAAACAAATTTTTTGACAACTTCAAAAATTGATTTCTTCCATTATCATCTTATCATTTATTTTGGTTTTTTTTTTGTAAAATTTAACACTTGCGAACATGGTATTAAAAATCATATTTCCAATTTAAATCCATCTTATGTCCAATTTTTTATTTGCCTATATTTACGAAAATATAGTTATTCGAACAATACAAATAAAATATCAATATATTATAGAATCGTTGTGATAGCATTTTAGGAATTGAAACGAAATTTCATTTCCAGTTATGGACTAAAAGTAAAACCATCTCTGCAATTACTTTCAAAAACTAAAGCAACGGTCACACATGCAAATAATTTATTTGAAAATTTATTGTATTTTGCAAAAAGGTTTCAAAAAGTAAATTGCAAAGAAATTTGTATATAAATCTAAGTAGTTTTCATTGAAAAATATATTATAGTCATAACATAAAAATCCACATGCAAATTTATTGTCTGACCGTAGCTTTAGCAAACCGTTTTGTAAAAGAAGTACAGACAGTATAAAAATAGAAAAACTTGTTATAAAATTCAAATTGGAATTTAAATATACTTATTATAACGCAATGTGCGTATTCGCAGCCATATGTTAATTATAAGCCAAGATCCGAACTACCTCATATAAAAAATTGTACCTGCCACAAGTCGCAGGCTCTACTTAAGTCTGCAAGTGCTGTGTGCAATAGCTTACCTGCAATTTCCTCACACGGCTTTATTAGCTTAATTAATTATGACCTTCTACCACACCATGCCCTTGAAACTTGGCAGTATTAAAAATACAGGTTTTTGAGTCCACTTGACCAAAGTTCCTTGCAAGTTCTAGGAGCAAACATGGACGAACAGCTAATAGTGTTCGAGCAGTTTCTGCTTCCGCAGAAAGTTTTACAATATTCTGGATTAGTTTACTTCAAGTTCCAGCGAAGAAATGGACGCCTAACCAGCAATTGTGCCAGCGCATTTTACGTTTCAATTATTCTGGTGTCTATTTATTACGTTTTCAATTGTTTCGATTTGGTGTACTCTACATGGGTTGGTAAACCCTCTAGTCAGAACATTGCTATTTTATGTTTGACGACGTATCTGTGTATTCGGGGATTGACACTCTTTTTTAAGCACGATGATATTTTGACACTATTCAACGATCTAGACAGGATATATCCCCGCGACATGGCAACCCAGGCAGCAATGGAAGTGTCCAAAGTCTATAAGCAACATGTTCAACGACACAATATCATACATTATTTCAGTTTCACCACTCTGGCAATGTTTTGTGTCATGCCAGTAGTCCTGTACATATTTGACAATGAGCGGACAGGGATTATCACCTTGGAACAACAGATTGTTGGCGGCTGGTTTCCTTTTGGTATTCGACAAAGCCATGCTGCATATCCATTAGTCTGCTTGTACGACTTCAAGGACGCCTTTGTTGGCTTAACATTTTTTGCAACCTTTGATGCAATTTTTAACACCATACAGGAGAATATTATTATGCATCTGGACGATTTGAACAGGCAAGTGAGAGCCCTTAATGCCAGTGATAGCAACTCTACATCCTGCGATGAATTCTTCGAACACATTCGAAGCTTGGTACGAAGGCACCAGCATCTTAGGAAGCTGTGCCACAAATTTAACGACTTCTGCAAAATGTGCATACTGTTGACTGACTTTGTAAGCGCACTTGCGCTCTGCTTTCATCTTGTTATGCTAACTGAAACGCATAATCTGATGATGATTATTAAGTATTTGCTGCCCACCTTGGGCTTAGTTTTGTTCACCTTTGATCAGTGTTGGCGAGGTACCCAGCTGGAGCAGGCAGTAAGTTCACATTTCTATCTCCTTCACAAATATTTAATGTTCTATGTCTTTGTCAGTCTCTTAAATTTCAACAAGCTTTATTCGCTCATAACTGGTATATGGGTAGCAAGAAATACCGAAAGTTCATAATTCTATGGCTGACCCAATCACAACGGACCATGAAAATAAGTGCCTACGGCTTGATTGACGTCAATATGGTGCACTTTACTGATGTAAGTGGATTATTTATTATTATACATGTATATTCCAAGAATCATAGACAAACAATTTAATTTATTTCTATATTTTTCCTCTCTTTAAATGAAATTAATTGTATGCTCCTAAACACTTCATTCACATTTGAATAATTTTCACAAAAGTAGCAAATGCATTTACTTGTGCTGTCATTTTTTTATGTCTTCTTAATTTACAGATTATGCAACTGGCATACAAACTCCTTGCCTTCCTGAAGTCGAGATGAAGCAATATGAGAGATATATTGCATATTTTACAAATAAAAATCTTCATATTTGTTGTATACATTAACTGAGTAATCGTCACCCAATTCCCCCGGCAACTTCAAAGAATGGAATATAGACTCAGAAAAGGGCTGCTTGGTAGCAGATGCGCAAAAGGCAAGAAACCGGAGGCATTGAAAACTCTGAAACACCTGAATGCCATACTTTTCAGCACTTTACTCGAACAGAGCGAAATACCTGAACGTTGGAAGAGGCGGCAAAACTCTCCCCCAACGCTCCGCTAGCTTTTCCAAAACACAATGAGATGCTAACCGATTATTAACCAAGGACCAACTCGATCTACAAGTATATGGAACCACCAACCAAAATTTTAACCCTGTCCTGTCCTCAGATATGAAGACGTTAGACGGAATTATTAGAGAATATTATTAGTCTTCTTACAAGACAGTTATTAGAGCAGCTATGACCTGCATTAATGTTCATTTAAAAATGCAGCATACTAGTATAACAAGAATTGTATTACACACACCATAACTTGCAAGCTCACTTTGATTGGCAAAATAACTGTAATTAATTAGTGCACCTGTTCTCTCTCTAAAGAACGATGTTTTGTTAAATAAACGTGTACATATAGTACAGATTTAGTGACGGGTCATTAACAATTTTAATTACACTTATAAAACTTCTTCAGCTATTTCCTATGTGAATTAGTTGCCCCCTGAGAGAATACATCCGAATAATTTTTGCTAATAAATCAAACCACTATAATAATAATTCAATTCTCCCACAAACTAAATAAAATTTATAAAACTACATTTATAGTGTCTATATGTGTCTGCGAGTATTTGCGGCGTATGTGTATTACAGAACTGAGCCAAAGCAGCAATAATGCTTTATGATCGGGGTATATCTACTGATTAAACTGCAATATGAATTTTTGCTCGGTTTTCTAAAATCGCACTAAAGATCGCTATTTATAGAAGTAAATTGTTAAAAATGTCGATTGCTTTACTTTTTAAAAATATTTAGATTTCGTCTTTCTGAAAATGTATTCCAGAAATCTGATAAATATCTTTAATAAAATTTAAATATATAAAGATTATTTAAATTATCGCTTTATTGCCTTAAAAAAATAATTTGCATCAATATTAATAGAACCAATGTTAAAGTACGTTTTTAACTAAAACAGAATAATTATTAAATTACTAAATTTTTTTATATAAGTAGAAGTTGAAATATATATTACATACATATTTAATCACACAAATTAGATGAGGGGATACTTGTAATTTGCAAAGTCAATCAAATCGTTATAAAAAATAACTGGATAGAACTCTTAAATACACTGCCCGCTTAATTACGCTTAGTAGTTGTACTTTAGTAGTGCACCCTTTAATCCTTTCAGGGTATAACTACTTATTAAAATGCATTATGAACTTTTGTTCATTAATCCCACTGAAGAGCCCAGAGCTTAATTATACAAGTACCTGATAATTACCAGGCAAGAGCTTATTATAGAATTAAAATGGCTAACTGCGGACGAGAATATCCTTAAGTTTTTCACTTATATAGTGCATTAGAGCCTCACTTGAAAATAGTGTTAGCTTACAAGTGTAGGACAACATGGACGAGCACCTAATCGAATTCGACCAATTTTTCCAATCGCAATCATATCAAAAACTTATTGGCTTGACATGCTTCAAATTCAAGCGAGTTCGTGGACGATTTGTTAGCAACTGCAAGCGATCTATTCAAATTTCGATGTTTTATATAAGTTTCTTTTTTCTCTGCAACGGATTCAACATATTTCACTCTCTTTGGAGTGGTGTGCAGTCGGACCAGAACTTTGCTGCCTTCAGCCTAGCGGTTTACTTTGCTGTCCGTGGATTGACGCTTTATTTAAACCACGATAATGTTATTGAACTGCTTAACGAATTAGATCAGGACTTTCCAAACAATCCAGTTACCCAAAGTGTACACAGAGTTACGAAAGTCTATTCAAAGCACATGCTGCGTTACCGTGCTATCGACGCCTTTACATTCCTGGGACTAATTGGATTTTGTAGTATGCCTGCAGTGCTATATTGGCTGAACAATAAAAATGATTATATTACATTGGAGCAACAGCTGCTTGGTGGCTGGCTTCCATTCGATATAAGGCAAAACCATACGCTCTATCCTCTTGTATGGTTCTACGACGTTGTTGGTTCATTTGTTGGATTGTCCCTTTTCTCCGACTTCGATACGTTTTTTAATATTATACAGGGTCAACTTCTAATGTACATAGACACCCTAGCCAGAGAAATGGACAGCATTGATGCTACCTCCAGTATGACCGAAACTTTTGAGGCTCAGCAGCAGTTTTTCAAGCACATCACTTCCCTCCTGCGTCGGCAACAGCGCATCCATCAGCTAAATGCAAAATTTAATGCCATCAGTAAAAATTGCTTTCTTGTGGGCGATTTCATTGCAGCCGGCTCGCTTTGCTTTCTACTCTTCGCCATCACCGAAACGAAGGATGTTATGCTAATAGTTCAGTACGTGCTCCCCACCATGGGCCTCATTTTGTTTACCTTGGATCAGTGCTACCACGGTGCTCAGCTGGAGGAAGCTGTAAGTTTCTGAGCTCAGCCTATCAGCCTAAAAATGCAAGTGCAACCTTTTTATTTGTATACAAGTCGAAAAACCTAGAAACTGTCGTGTACAATCATAATTGGTATGAGGGAAGCAAGAAGTACCGTAAGCTCATAATACTCTCACTGGGCTACTCCCAGCAGACCATAAAACTAAACGCATATGGCATGATGGATGTCAATATGGTGCACTTTACACATGTAAGTATTTTAAATAATATATTTTGAAATAAAACACATTAAAACATTATGGCACAAACAAAGTAATATAATTTATATTCAGAATCCATTAAAACTCTATTCATCATTTCTCTTTAGAAACTTTAAGTCTTTCCACTGGAATATATTTATTCTTACCTTTCAGATCATGCGAACGGCCTACAACCTGCTCGCTTTTCTGAAATCTCATTGAAGATTGTAATTATTAAAGGTATATTTCTTTTTGAAAAAGAAGAAGAACTTTAATGAGAATATCGCTTTATTCTTCTCTAATTTTTGCTCTATTACCCTTGGAAAATACATCTTTCCGAAAAGGATACATCTGACAACAGCAAGAGCGAACATTCAAATAAATAACTTATTAAAATAATTTGAGTAATTATGAGTCAATTGAAATAATTTAATATACAAGCTAGTTATACTAGCAGCGATGCTTTAGTAACGGCCATATTAGTTACTAACCAATTTAATCGCTTTATTAGCTTTGAATTTTTTTTTTTTTTTGAATCAATTCTAATATGAACTTAGCAATTTCAAAATACATTTCTAACAAATTATATAATTATCAACAATAAGTATTAATAAAGCAATTTTTTTTAAAGAATTCTTTTTAATGGAAGATTAGATTACTTATGCAACATAGTGAGTTATATTGCCCTTGACCATAAAATCAAAGGTAAATGTTGTAACCAGTGATAGGTTTTGCGCTTAAGAGACTTCAGTATATAACCAATATAAGGATAGTCCAAAAAGTTGTCATGGACATCTTCGTTGAGGCTCCAGTCTAAGATCTAAAATCAAATCTAACGTCGCATCAATCCATTTACCATATTATTGCATTATTTACTATTTATTCGTGCATTCGTTTTTCATTCATTGTGGAGAAACATAGCCGCAACCATTGACAGTGTAGTTATAGGATTCGTTATTTAAACATTGACAATTAATTTTAACCTGCACTTCAACAGCACATAGCACTGCCACACACACTCACCAAATAGTGCCGCATAGAAATGTTCATTAAAAAATTCCTGAAGCAATTTGAAAAATATAAAATTTCAATTGGTTACACCATTTGAAATATGTATGTAGTACTATGTATGCAAAATGTGAAAAACGAATAGAAATTTATGGCTGCGAAGCATTACGTGTCTGTCAAACATTTCCGCACAGTGCATGTGCATGCAAAAAATCTATAAAAAAAGATGAAAAAAAAAAAAAAAAAATGGAAAACTTCAGGCAAACTATTTGGTATGCACATACACACATTCAAATAAATACTACTATATGTGTGTATATGTGTACATATCTATGTTTGTATGTGTGGCATTTTCATGACGTACGCCATCACGAATGCCAACGAAAAAAATTCTTATCTCGCACAAGAAAAAGGAGTGCAAAATCAAGCCGAAAACGTGGTCAGACGGACGAAGACGTGAACGGGACGCGTTCGGATAGGGGGTACATCGTCGTCATGGCCGCCACACGAATCGGTCGCGACCACGACCAATGCGCGCTGCGTTCTGATTCGTTTCGCTTTTTGCATGACTTGAGATCATAAAAAAAATATGAGTTTTTTTCTGGGCCTGTTGGGCCTTGCGTTTCAAGCAAAAGTAAAGTACGAAAGCAAATACAAAAAAAACAACAACAACAACAGCAACAACAAAATAACCAAAAACGCGGTTAACCAAGTTCGTTTTCTTCTTGGCTTTTTGTATTATTATGTATTCGGTTTGCCTTTGCGGGCGTTTTCTGCTGGTCATAATATTTAACATGCGCTGCATCGCCGGCCCAGCCGCGGCCAAAACCTTTTACATAACGCAACGGCAGCCACCCTTCTACTCTTGCAAAATACGTTAACACTGACACATACATACAAACATACTCGAACGTATGCATGTATGTATGTATATAAGTAGCAGCATATACAGTTAAGGCTCGCTTTAGAAAATAAATTAAATTATGTGAATTTTAATATTCTCTTAATTGACGGCTTAAGCTAAGATATGATTAAGATATATAAGATAATATATGACATAGGAATGTTAGCTTTAAGGTCGATCTCTGCCGAACAGCCAACTTTTTCTTATCTCGAGGCGTTTTTTTTTTTCAGTCTCTCCATCATTGCAATATTGTTATGAGCTTTTGGGCAGAATTGATAGAACAGATGGTTTTATCTCTTATCTTATCGGGCTCCTACGAATTCGAATAATCGCCTTACTTGATATAATATAGAACCGGGTAATTTGGTAAAGCGACTTTAAATATTCTATATATATACGCAAAGTTTCCCTTTTTTGGATTTTAGATTTATTCTTATATATGTATGTAGTTACAACTGAACCATTTGACAGTCATTATACTTCATTTAGATTTTAGATTTGTTCTTATAACATAAGAACCATGTATTTAACTACAAGTAGTATACTATTTAACCCTGTGGGTACAGTGTATAAAAATAACTGATTCATTTGACATTCCTATAGTATTGTCTTTACACTTTTTTCAAAAATAGGATACATGTTGGGCCGCTAATTAATTTCTTTCCCGTTCCTTTCATTTAATTCTTAAAACGGGCGTTCACTGTAAATAAATGCACACATTCAGAGCCTGCTCGGTTGCTTTTCATTAGGCTTTTACATTTGACAGTATGTGTGTGTATGTGTTTGTGTGTGTTTGTGTTGGACGCGCCATATTGGGCCTTCCTTCTTATTTTTATTTTTTTATTTTTTGTGGCCCGCAGCTTAGACATCCACCATCTTACGTGCGTCGTAGTCGTCGTCGCTTCATTTCGCTTTGCTTGATTTCGTCATTTGGGCGCTGTGCGGTCCTTGCCAGATTAATGGGCGCGATAAGGTCGTCGTTGACGCCGTTGCGACTGGTAGGTGTAGCCCAGACCCAGACCCAGAGTCAGACGCTGCTGGAAGGCTTGGGTTCCAATATGGTAGCTTTCGCGCGAACCATATTAAAAAACATACCCTGTCGACTGGTTGTTGCTGTTGTTGTTGTTGCTGTTTTCATTGCCTCCTTGGAATGGCAAAAAGCCAAAGGGCGCAGCATTGGGGCGTTCTTGTATATACATTATATACATACCTTATACATACAAGTACATATATTTGTATGTATCTTTATGTATAAGTATGTGTTTCGGCATTTTTATCTGTTGCAACAAATCTTTAGCCAATCACGCCCCTTTTGGCGCACAAACAGGCGTTATGGTGACTGTTGAGGGAGCAATGCAAAGCATTCAATTTTATGCAAAAATACTAGATAAGATTAGGTCGTGCGATCCCGCCTATTAAATGCCGTATATCAAATTCTTTACTTTCCAGTTGTTATCCATATATAGTACATGTGTTTAATACAAAAAAAAAAAAAAAAAAAAAAAAAAATCCCTTTGGTATATCGATTCATCTCCATTATTCATTCTTTTACCCTTCGGATCCCAGTTTCCAAGTATGTTCTTTACGAACATCAATTCAAGGAATCAGGTGAGACTAGCATTAAAAGGAAGCAATACGAAAAATATTGAAAATGTAACTTTTGACCTGAGTTCAATTTAAAACATTGAAATATTTGATAGTAATGTGAGATGGGTTCAAGTACTTTCCCAGTTGCATGTCACTTGCATATGTGATTGGCATTTATATTAATTATGCTATACTCGTATAATGACTACAGATCGAATCACATTAAAGCTTAATCAGATGCTTGTACCGCTTTTGCTTACGGTTGACCTCTTCCGTTCGACAAACTGTTATGAAAATCTGCGTATGCTCACATTAATTGTCATTAAATTAGACAATTTGAACTTAAATGGTGGCGAGGAGTGCCGCTTTATGATCTATAAACGGAGCACTCAATTAAACGGTAAATACGGCACATTATAAAAATGGGCGATGCTGCCACCAACGTCATTGATTGATTGGAAAGTGCGCCGAAGATCGTCGACCAACTAGAGCACGTGCTAATTGGCATTTTAAGTGCATTTAATGCCACACAAATGAGCGGTTATCTATAAAAGAAAACACAGCAAGGCCAATAACCAATCAGCTAGAAGACGGGATATGAAAGCTTACAGCAACAATAACATCCATGTACGTATTTACATAGGCCCTGGCTCTGGCTCGTGCCTTGCTTCCTTCCGTTCTGCAAAGGAAGCAGTTGCCTTTGCCTAATCAATGCAAATCAAGGCGAAATGATTGCGAAATTATGTGTATGTAGTAACTTTTTAGCGCACGCCAACCAAGTCAACAGGTAGCTGGAGCGGATACAAGTGGTTCAGCGCTCTAGCCCACAATTCGATTCCGCCCAACCCAACGCACAGTGTCATATTCTCAATAGTGAGGGAAATAAAACGCTACTTAAAAAAAAAACATGGACAGTTTGCCAAGTTCAATTGGCGAATTAAGCTCAACATCCCTAGTCCCTCCTAAATCTATTGACAATACAATTGGGTTTTGGGAAAACTGATTTATATTTAAGTTAAAACTATTTAAGTATTTAGCCTCTCACACAAAAGCTCGTGGCATTGAACTCATCCTTCAAAAAATCATTACCTTTGATTCCCACATTTCGAATCAGAAACATATCACTGTGCAAAGATTTTAATTAACATGCATTGATATCTTCATCACTCATCCGGTAGTTCGCTCAAGGGCTTCCTGACTTGTCAACACCCAGCTCTGCTCTGTCTATTTTAAATCAAACTCTTTACTGCTGGCACTTACACACTACAAGTATACACTATAATAACAACATCCGCTCTCCCATAATCATTTTTGCATGGCTCCGTTAATAAAGCTGCGGGCCCGATGTATGCTCGTATAGACGCCTGGATACCTGGGATCCGCGCACTGCAAGCCCCACGAGACAATGCCACACAATTGATTGTTGTATATAACTCCACCGCCTGAGTCGCCTGTACACGTATCCTTGCCACTCGCTCTGGCGCAGAACATAGATGCGTAGAGCTCGGTAACACCTCTGTACATGCTCTTACACACCGTTTTGTTCATCAGACGCAGCCTAACAGTACGCAGTTGTATCGAAGTATCTGAAACATTTGGGAGTGTGGCGCCCCAGCCGGAGACGCGCATGTAACTGCCAGCGCGCCACTGAACGCTGCAAAGCGAGATGGGCGATATGTTCCTTCCAACCATTGCACTCCTTAGCTTTATCACCCCAACATCCATGTTTAGGAGCTCTGGATTATATATACTTGGCCGCATGGCCTTATACACGCGCCTGATAACACCTCGCTGGGTAAGTCTGGTGACGCCACCCTGGACCGTCATGCTATTCGCTTGATAGCCATAGATGCAGTGAGCAGCTGTGATCACAAAGAGGTTGGACACCAGTGTGCCACCGCAGATGAATTGTCCATTGTAGCGTATGTTGACCACATAGCCCCCGATTTGGGACTGTGTGGTCGTCGTGCCGCCAACAATGCGCGGCTCTATACTCTGCGAGGTGCAGATGCCGCTGCTGTCCAGCAGCCACAGCAGAAACAAGACCGGAGTCGGACCAAGAACACGCAGCCGGGGGTACATCATCGAGACTAAATGTTTAAAACGCTTCGTCCACCGTTTTTATCAAACCAGCACACTTATGTATTTACTTCACAGCTGTTCAAACATAACATTTAAAGTCATTTGCTTCACAAATCTCCACTACGTGTTTGAAGAACAATTGGGCTTTGCAAAACTTTATATGTACATAGTACGATTCCATTGTTGTCAAGGTAATAACTTGTGCTATTTTATTTCGTACAATTCAACCCTGAAAAGTTTATCACGCTTAATACTACAAGGTTTGTTTTGGAGAAATTTCAATTGGACACATGTGGTGAACATTTCTAAAAATAGTGATATTTTTCAATGGTTCGACCTATTTGGTAGTTTATCAATTTTGTAACTAAACTAAACAGGTTTGGATGAGAGTGCAAAACACCCTTTATATAATATTTAATGGCTCCTAAATAAGCTAAAGCTCTATTACGAAAGGTTTGATGAACAAAACTTCTCCACATCCTACAGTCACATCTACTCAAAGGCAGTTTTTGAATTTTATCTGAAGATTAGCGAAATATTGATTCTCTGGAATCAACTATAATATGTATAATTTTACTTATGTACGCCTTAAGAGACTTGAATAATATATATTTAGGGCTGGTGTTTTAAGATACGATTATGTAGATACCAGCTTCAACATTCTATATAGTACAATTATTTGGGCAACAAACTGTAAATACAACCAAACTTTGTTAAATAATAATCTGTTTTGTAGTACAAGATAAAAGTTGTTACAGGATTTACTAACTTTATCTTTTTCAAAAATAATCAGCAGGCTACAGGGCATAGACATCTGCCTTTCAACTCCTGGCATTATACCCTTTCTTGGCATGCATTTAAAGCTATGTTATGGCTGAGCTGTCGATTGCAAATGGAAGAAAATGAATGGTCATTAAACTATAGGCTAGTATAGATTTTTTTCCGCCTCTTTATTTGAAATACAAATTTTTGTCCTCCAAAATTAATTTAAACACCAACATTTTACAAAGTTCGCTATAAATTTGTTTTTGTCTTTGCTAGAACTATATATAAGTACCTTTCACTGTATGCCCTACAACTGAAACATTATATAAATAGATACCCGTATAGAGTAACCTGTACTGAATTCGTACTATTTATTTATTATTAGAAAACACAAATATCGCGACTCCAAGATGGTACAACGAGAATAACCATATTCTAAATATTCCTGCTCTAATGTGTGAGGGGCGAAAACGTAAATGTTTCCAACACGGGGGACATTCCAGTCCAGTAAATTAAAAAATATTGAGGAACTGAAAATAAAATGAAACAGCCACTCTTTTTTTCTCTATTTCTCTGTCCCGTCACATAGCGGAATGTGGAACGGGGTTTTAATGAGTAAACAACGACAGAAAAATTTCAAAAAATTTTTGTTCTTTAAATATAGAACCCAAAAAGCATTGTTTATCTGCCGACCAGTGAAGCCAAAATGTGAAGGCGACTTACGATGCCGGAATAACGGTCCGACAAACTGAAAAAACAGTAGATTTATAATTAAGTGAAAGGAATCCAATTACTGGTTTGGACAAAAATCACATAAGCAGTCTCCAGGCCAAGGCAAGCTTGAGATGTGCTTAGAAGTGGAGAGAATTTCGATCTTAGTAGTACCTTTTCACAATGTTTGAGTAAACAAAATTCCAATATAAGACTAGTCGTTGCTCGTATTTATCACATTGCTGCACGTATAATATTCAATCAACACCACATCCCATCCACATAACATAATAATACCAACAGCAACAACAAATATTAATAAATCGGTAAAAATAAAGTGCTAATTGACGTGTAAGAAAACTTTTGCCATTACATGGGCTTGCTCCATTGTGTGCGGCAGCTGCTGAATGACAGCGAAAATACAAATTAGTGAGCTGAGAGAAATAAACAACAACACAAAAAGGCAAGCTACCTGCGCCTAATCAGCCAACAAAATTATTATTATTAAACTCGTTCATGCTAGGCAATTATTGTTAGTGCCACAAAAGCCGACAGAACACAACTCACACATACTCGCAGTATTCTAAGTATGTCCAACACAGTACAGTTCCATTGAAGGAATCAAATGCCAATTGAAACTGCGGTATGAAAATTGAATTGCAATTAAGCTGCAGTGTGAGTGGCTCAATGGCGCGGGCGGGGCAACGGTCAGCACGGGGCTTATTAGTTTATTACATCAGCAACAAATCTTAACAAACGCTAATTAAGACACAAATAATCGAACGTGCTAACAATAACAGCGACAACAACAACAACAATAACAACAACAGCTTCTACAACACTGAAGCCAATAATAAGCCATATTGTACACAAAACTTACCCCACAGCGAATGACGGGTGGTGATTTCCAACAGTGTGCGTGTGCCTTTGTGTGTGTGTGTGTGAGTCAGTGTGTGCGTGTGTGTGTGTGTGAGTGGCCATTTGGGGCGATGGGGGGCGCGGTTGTGCGCAGCACAATAAAGTTGTCGAGGGCAAAGGACATTCGTACAACTCAACAGCTATGACGATAAAGTACAAAAAAGGAATGGTGACGATTAAGCATAGTGGCACACATTCGATTTTTCACCAACAAAAATATGAATTATTTAAATATTAAAGTGTTTAGTTGGGATGTTATAGGAATTGTCTCAATATCGATAATTAACAAATTTAGGCAAGCATTAACATTTTTTTAAACTAAAAGAATTGTTTTTGATTACCAATTTTCCGATTAATTAGGCTTCTTACAAAAAAATTATAGGTATTTTTAAACAATTAAATGCCAAAGCTAAAGCCGACTTTCTCGATCAATTTGGTAACAAAATAGCACACACCTTTATTTCTATTCACAAAAAAATACTTAGTGTTGCAGTAAAATAAAATATGAATAATTAAAGCTATTTCTCCATGATATTAATAAAGTATTTCGGCAAAAGAGGCTGAGACTTAGGGCTGGCAAGATTTGGATTACATTTCCATTAAGCCAACCAAGAATATTAATCTTATTTATAATTGTTCAGGCAGCTGTAAATGTACATTGTTTAATTGCAGAATAATGAAAATATTTATTAAAATAATAATAAATTTGTTAATGGGAAAAACACTGAAAATTGTTGGCAATCTTGAAAGTAACCGGAACTACTGTGCCATACCCTTTGGAATCATGCAAATGGTACTACTTACTAGGTGTGCTTGCGTGTGTAGCCGCCGCCGCCACCCACGGCCTGCGGTATTTGAACACGCCCAGATAGTACAAGTTGCAGGACAAACAATTCAAATACGCCGACGGGGGCGCTTGGACGCTTTAGTGTGGCAGCTAGAGCCACCCTCGGTTGAAAACAACCACCGGGCGAACTCTCGACCGCAGAAAATGGAAAAGGAAAATGGGAACCTGTGAAAAGTAAACAGCAGGGAGGCATGTGGCTGTGGCTGTGGCGAGCAAAGCACGAAAATGTAACCACAATACGGCGGATAAGGCAGCGTGCTGGCCACAAATGGCAGCCAGGGTACCACCATTTGTTTATGTACATACATACTTGTACATATATATATATATACATATACATGTATATAGGTAAGTATGCATTTATTCATATGCGACTCTCTGTGTGTGTGTTTGTGTGTGGCTGTGTAGGTGTCTATGCATAATATATAATGGCTTCAACGAAAAAATGTAATGAAAAAGACATTTTTGTATGAGTTCTCATACACACAAACACACACACACACACACATGCCAAGAAAAGTGCACACACACACACACATGCATAGACATAGAATCTTTTGCCTTTCTTCGGCAGCCAACGGAAGTGAATGGCACATTATGTTGCCGCTGCTTGACATGGCCTTGTTGTTGCTTATTCCATTGCTAGTGTTGCTGTTGTTGTTGTTGTTGTTGCCATCATCGACGTTGCTGTTGTTGTTGGCATCCGGCCCGGGGTCGCAAGAGCTCAAGAGCCGAAGCATTGAAGTGTTGCTGCCAGCTTTTGAAATGCGGCCTAAAAAGTGCGGGCTTGTAATTGGGTAGCTGGGCGTACAAAATAAAACTTTTTTATGCGTATGTGTGTGTGTGTTGGCCATTATGTACTTGTACGCATTAGAGCGACATAATGTGGCTAACTCCTACCTACCCCTTCCCCCGCCTCAAAATACCAAAACTACTTTATGCTCTGACTAGAGCTGGGCAATCCAAGAAATACTTTTAAGGAACATAAAACACAAATACAGAAATAAGCTTGGCCCTTCTCTGTACTTGAATTTCCATGCAATGCGTTTGTCTATTGAACAAACCCAATCAATTTGTAGTCAAATCTTTGGCACGCAACCCTTGACAATGTCCTAGCTTTAATTTTTTTTTTTTTTTTTTGCAACACAGTAACATTTCAATTGATGTTCATTACAATTGTAGCCTTTCATTTTGATGCAAGGCTGCTACACATAGTAGAAGCGTGTACATGCATTGCCAACAACAGCAACTATAATGCCAGCAACGACAACAACAACAACAACATCGTCATCATCAAAATCCCATTAGCAACGTATTCAAATGCGTTCGAGTGTAAAACAAGCCACATTCAGTGCACGCAGCCAAAATGTGAGCTCGCACAAGGCGAGAGCCCAAAAGCCAGAGTCCGGATCCGGACTCATTCATTTACAGTGGCAGCATTACGCATCCGTTTGTGCCAGGCCATTGGGCCGAGCCGTTAACACCACCCACACCTCTATCTACATCTACAACAACATCTCCACCACCACCCCAACCCCAACCCCAACCCTAACCCATCAATCTACAATACAATTTGCATGCATTGTGGGAAGCCTTTCGAAATGGGTCGCCATCACCCCGTAAGCTGATACAATGTTAGCCTACTTACTGGCCAGCCAGTGGACCTCGTTTTTCACTCCACGAGTATGTATTTACCGAAATGTTAGTTCAATCAAATCTACAGTCTCAAATTTAGATGTTGGCCAACATTGGGCTCAGT